AGCGTTTACCTGATGAGCCCCAAGAAGAGAAAAAACGGTCGTGGACTGTCCAAGAGTTTTCAGCAACCTTTACAACGACGTTTATTTTGGTCGCCATTTTCAAGCTGATCAACTTGTATTTTTGCAAGGAGTGCTTGTCAAAATGAAAATAAATTACAGTGACTGGAGATGGCGTTGAATACTTCACGCAGGCCCCCCACGGAGACCATTTGCAAACATTGTTTCGGGGAGGCGGATGCCTTAAACTCTCATCTGCCTGTGACGCAGCGTAGCCGGTGGAATGACATGAGCGATGAGCCATAGCTGTTGCTATCTGCAAATAAGTCCATCACTCGAGTTCTTCGGAACCGGCGAAAGACGATTGATGTAGTGGATCGTGATCCAGTTAGGTGTACCGTAATAACGACTCTGTTCCAAGCTTATGTTCTCCTGATCCGCGTCTTCCTTGGCTGGAGACCATCAGGTGTAAAAAACGCGTACATGCCATACAATGGTTCTAGATGCCACAGTTTTGTTCACCGATGATTTCGGGAGGTGGTGTAGGTAGCTGCGCGTTGGAGGCGCTAGCTAATATAATTGATTCATAAAAACAGAGTTAACAGTAGACGCTTCACTGGGGAGATTGGATGGCGAGCTATGCTTTGAAGGCAACAGGTTCGATGCACGACTGCCTTTGGGGGCTCGACTGGGCCATGCCAGACAATGTCTCTAACCACTGATGTGTCTCACCTCGCGGATGGCCGGAGACACTGTAATTCGAAGCCCAAATTTCCCCAGGACTGCGAGAGGATAGATAGATATGTCACCTCAGTGGTGGCATTTATAGGACAGCAAGTTAAACGGTACATGGCGTCCGGGCGTAACACACTTCCTATAAAGCTGCTGGAAACCCTTCGACAGCCCAGTTGAAGACGGCCATCATGAAAGAGAGATCTAGCTGAATTCAGTTGAGTTTCCTGTCGAGCCGGATCTGTGTGCAAATGAGAGTATTTGGCGGGTGCCTTCGGATAAGGCCAAACACTGCCACCAAACATTGGGGCTAGCTTTTGGTGAGCTGAAATACAGATGGTAAAACCCGGACTACCTTGTGAAGTTTAGAGTATTTCACACCACATGCTTGCATTTCGTTAGGTTTTTAGACATTTCTATCGCGTTTTTGTAATGGTTCTGTGGGTAACCAATAGTTGGAATCACCTGGGGAGAACACTAATCATAAGGTTGCTGAAAACCCTCGAAAGTCCGTTTCGCGCTCCCTGAATTTCCTCCAACATTGTGTTCCATCTGAACCGAAATTGTGCACATTTTGCGAAACACACCCACTTGCACATCAATTTGGTTTTAACGGGAGAGTTAGCTAGATCCCAACCGAACCTATCGTTTATGATGTTCTTCAACTGACCACGCTGTACAAAGACCTCCTCATGTTTGAGTGGACACGATAGAGCTGGAGGTCAATTTTCGATATACAGTGTTCTTTGTACACAATACCAAGATGTTCGTCTAGTTTCACGAGCATACTTATTTTTCGTGGTTTGCAACTGCTGGACAGCTTGAGGTGCAGATCATTACTTTGTCGAATTGTATGTAGATTCCAACTGACTCCGCTTCCCAACTTCCAGCATTGTCGGCTTCAATGGTTTTCAACTAGTTGACTTGATCTTAAAATTCTTGCCGTGAAGATGGCTCACCTTTATCCGGAATTCTTGAACCGGTACCCCAGGAATAAAGGTTACAACCAAGCCATTTGGCTACGTGTTTGGCGTCCAGGACTGGTGAAAGTAATTGCCGTGCTAACATATTGTGAACTGAACTCCGTTTTTTGCTAACCACGTTAGTGAGTGTCTGGATGTGTGTGGGTCCCACAGAACTTGTTATAGATCGGCACTAGGTATCCTCTGGGGCTCCCCTCAAGGTCCTGCGTACGCCAACGTCGCTGATGACGATTGTGACAATTCGGCGGTGGTGTACTTTTGACTTTTGGTTTTGAGTCTTTCCATTCACCGCACCTTCGGCACAATGTTTTTAGAATCTACAAACAAGACTCGAGACATTGACTCGTCAGAATGCGCTCGCTCGAATCGAAACTCTTCAACTTGCAAGGTGAATGTGACCAGCTGACACGTGCGCTGAATCAGACCAACACACGAGTGAATGAGTTGAAAGATCAGCTGGACCGAGAAAGGTCAGACCAGGCCCGCTTGAAAGAACAGCTGGCAGAAGTACACCGTCGTATGGATCAGGCACACAAAGGTGCATCCGTAACGGACCAGGAAAAAAGATTACTTCAGGTGAGTAGAGGACAGCAGGATTTATATGTCTAATGCTCTATAAATCATTTGCAATGCGGCTCTTTGCATCACAGACTGAAGAAGAGGTCCTTCACTAGCAATCAGTTTGATGCTTATTCTATTGGTTATTAGGTAGGAAGGAATCTTCGTGACACTCTCCAGGATCTTGGAAGTTGTCGCCTTTTTATAGATGAGGCAACGTATGCATACCAAATTCTGGACGGGGTCCGGCAGTCTATTGAAAGTCAGCAGATCCCCGAGGTCAACCATAGGGTTATCTGCCATTATGTCACGGGGCGACATTTTATAATTTCACATTTGAGGATGCTCCACGATCGATAACGCAAGCACCAAACGTCGGTATGTGCTTCCTCCGTTCAACTGAGTGAACAAGGAACCACATGGTTGTTGCTATGAGTCTAAAGCATTCCTAGTATGGTTAGCAATTAGGCCACCATACTGCAACTCATCGGTAGAAACGGCGTACCAGTTTGCCTTGCTTTCATTTAGATATGTTGTAGTTACAGCGGAAAAATTTCCAAGTACGGTGTAGAGAGAGCATGTCATAGTTTATCTATGTCCGTTGTATCACAGAAACGGCGGACGCCGTCACTCAGGACCCAGGACCCAAAAGGTTCGACAGATTAGCTTCGAAATATGTGTTTCCCAAACGGGGCGTGGAGCTGGAACAGGAAAGCGCGATGTCGGGTCTTCGGCCAATAAATATCACTGAACAGATGACTACGCCGTCTCATTGTTAGTAGGTAGAATGCTAGTCCTGATCGATTTATCGATCCATATTGTACAATCACTGAAGAGTAACTGGACGATAACCGAACAAGTGACATATGTCTGCAACAAAATCTTCCAAGTGCTCACTTTCTCCCGTTTTATGGTCCGACTCCATCTTCCTACCTTTGAGTTCAACCTATTTTGTCACGCTGTATGATGAGCTAAGTGGTTTACATCGGATGCCGTGGTCAAGAGCACTCCAAATATCATCGTGATGTGGCATTCGATTCCATTATAAGCGACCTTCGCTCCAATGTGTATATCCCACCAGTTTCGTCTGAAGCCGAATGGGGCCGAATATCGATGAAAACCGTCACGTCACTCCTCGTTTTACTGTATTGTTCGATGCTTCCACACATATCCTAGGGTGTTTCATACGAACTGCCGTTCAACTATTATCAGTTTCGCTGGCTATACACCTACTTGAGTTAACTATTCTGCCATTTTCCACACAGGAACGACTGGAGACTTGTCGCGCCAGTCTGAATGAGACTAAATCACAGCTTCACGAAGCGCTGGAGCGACTGCAGCAGCTGCAACTGGAAACGTCGGACAGTTCCCTGAGAAGGGCAGAACTGGAAACCCAGCTTCGGCAAATGACCAATTTGGCCACGGAAACGCAGCAGACCACCAACGATCTTCAATCCCGATTGACCGCCCTACAGAGTAAGCGTATTGCAACCCGGTGTTCGTGTCCATTTGTCTCATAATAGACGCAAAAAATAATACTCATGTTATTACTTTAACACTAATTCAAACATTTATCATTTCTGTTAGTGTGAGGAGATTTGGGATTTTTGTGGAGATTTCATCCTTTAAGTGAAGCCAATGTATACTGAAAAGCCTAGAAGCACCGTACAGCTCTTCCATCCTTATTGGGAATCATCAGCAGTG